AAATACTGATATTGATCATAGCTATGCTGTCCTTTCTTAATTTATGATATTGCATGTTCTTGTGGAAATGCAATGTAGATATTATTTGGTATCTGCTTTGAAATAATTGTAATGCTTTTATTTATTTATTTTTTTCCAGGAAATTTGTTGAGACAATCGATAAGTTCTCCCATGCTGATCAGGCAACTGTAGCCCATATTGCTAAAAATATTCTACACATCCATGAAGCAACTTGTAAGGGGGATACCCTGGAGTCTTTACTCGACAGAGTAAGATTTATTTATTTCATATCTGCTACTTCAAACCATGAAATATATAGATATGAAACCTCCCAGAATAGGTCTTCTTAGTGTTTGCCTGTTTGACTTAATTAAGCTGCTGTTGTTGCTGCTGTTGTTGTTACTTTACTGTGCTTTCAAAGCATTCAACAATGCTTTTGAAAGGATAAGGCATTCACTCAGTGAAATTGTATGGTATATACTGCATAAAGTCAAGAGGTGGCTTCTTATACACTCTGTCTCAAGGTCATGTTTTTTGGGGGGGGTGTTGTATTTTGATTTTTTGTTGTTTGTGTTGTTGTTTTTTCTTTGTTTTTTTGTTTGGTTTGGTTTCGTTTGACCTGGTCTCCTTTTCTAGTGCCACCTTTTGAAATGTTCAAATTTCTCTTGTGCAGTTTCAAATTGATGATGCTTTTTAGCTTACCTTCCATTTCCAAAAATCTTGAAACTGGAGTTCAGCAAATATACTGTTAAACACACAGAGATGTTGTGTTATTCAGTTTAGGAAGCTAAGAATTGCTAATACAGTAATACCTCGGTTCATGAACCCTTCTGTTCATGAATAATTCGGTGCGCGAACAGCAGCTTTCGCAAGTTTTTGTTTGCGTTCGTGAACTCCGCATCAGGTGACGAACACGACCTGTGGCCATCTTCCCTGCTCTGACACGTGGTTGTGGCTTCCCCTAAGCGAGATCACATTTGCTTCAGTTCGGGACCAATTCGGTTCGCAACCAGAATTGTGGAACGAATTAAGTTCGTGAACCACTTGAGTGGGAGATCCACTGGGGAAGCATTTAAGGTGCTGGTTGAAGAATATGGAGGTTAGGTTTTGGTCCTCCCTTAGGCAGAAAAGTCGGCTAGCTGATTATTGGCAAGTTACCCTCTCCCAACCCCAAAACACCAGGATATAACTCTTTCATAAATCATGCACTGATTGTATTGCTGGGTGAACTAGGCCAGCAGAGTGCAGACAAGCAGATCTTGCAAGCAAGCAGGAAGAAAAGAAGGAGGAGGAGGAACAGAAGGAGGAGGACACCATTCTGATACCACTTGATACTACTGAAGAGGGCAGCACCTTCAGTGGGTGGGGTGATGACGTAAAATGGGCAGAGTTTATTTGGATTTATATCCTCCCTTTCCTCCAGAGGCTGAAAGTCATATACATAACATTGTTTTGTCATTTTTTCCCCCACAAAAACAACCCTATGGTTGAGAGTGACCAGATGAAACTCAACCAATAACCTGAAGATGGACTTGAACATATGTCTCCCCAGTTTTAATCCTACAACTTAATGAACATGCTTAGGGACAATTATCTGTTTTTTGGTGTGGGAGAAGAAATCATCATCATCTTCATCATCATCGTCTCCATCATCATCATCGTTGTTGTTGTTTTTGTTGTTATATTCAGATCTGATAATACTGTGTTAACCCTAAGCCACTGGTGAGGTCATCTGTAACCATGGTGTGAGGTATGATCAGCATACTACATAGCTATATATCTCTGCCCCTGGTGAAGTAACCAATACTGTTGATGTCCTGTTGGGGTTTCGATGGAGAACCACAGGCTTCAGCTCAACCCTGGCAAGACTGAGTGGACTCAGGACTTCTGGACTCAGGACTCTTGCCCAATGAGCAGGTGGCAGTTGCGGCTAGGAAGGCTTTCAGATTGTTCACTAGTTATACTCATTCCTGGACAAGAAGGCCCTACAGTTCGTCACTCATATCCTGGTCAGCTGCCTCATGAATCACTGTAATACACTGTAATGCACTGTACATGGGGCTGTCCTTGAACAGCATTTGGGAGCTTCAGCTGGGACAAAATGCAGTGTAGTGAGCAGTTATGTGTGCACCTAGATCAGCGCACATTAAACCTCTGGCTGTACGAGTTATATTGGTTACCAGTTTGCTTCTGGGTTCAATTCAAGGTACTGGTAATGACCTATATAGCCCTACATGGCATGGGGCCAGGTTATTTGAGGGATTGCCTCTTCCCAATGGCCTCTACCTGTCCTATTACATCTGGTAGGAAGGGCATATTGTGGGTCCCATCCATGATGGAATGTCATCTCAGGATCCAGGACGACAGCCTATTCTGCAACAGCACCCTCCCTTTAGATTTGTTTTCCCCCTGTGATCAGATTGGCCTGGCATTGCTGGCCTTCTGGAAGAGACTGAAGCTTTATCTGGGGATCAGGAATGTGGGTATGGAGCCTGTAAAGTGGCTATATTATTGTGTGCTGTCCTGAAGATTATGGTCTTGTTTTTGTTTTAAATTTCTTTTTGTTGTTGTTGTTATGTTTTGGGTTATTTCATTGGATTGTTTTTCTTTGAACTTTGACTGCCAGTCAGAGTCACATATGTGAGATGGACAGCTATGTAAATTTACCAAACATACAAACAAACAAATATAAACTATATTAACACTGATTTCTTCCAACCCTCTAGCTCTTTTGATTTAATCGTTCTTTCTAGCAACATCTGCACAATACCTCTCTCTTTGCTTCAGTTTCCTACAAGGAAGA